ACAAGCAGTCCTTCCGCCAAAAAATGGAGTTCTACAAATCGCTCATTTTATTTCTGTGCCAGATCTGAGAGATGGGGGCTCCCTCGCTGGGTCGATTGTCTGAGTAGGGTGGGTGAGTAGTATGACGTGTGTTCACGACATTTTACCACACATCAAAGGGGTATGCGTGCAGATTAAAGTGCTAATTCTTGTCAATATTTGGCTTAAACGTGCGGACATAAAATTGCTACATGTTGTTATTCGCGGGTTCTTTTCTACCGCTCAAGCATATCACATCAATTAATTCTTGTGTACGACCATTATGCAGACAACCGTGCTACTGCTGGTTTTCGCCGAGCATTTATTACAGCACTTTTCCAAACCCTATTCATTCCTTTTCTTCCACTGTCATCGCAAGAGAATGCGCAGGCAAAAGATTCTACTTTGAATCATAGTTCCCATAAATAGCTTCAATGTGCGCAACTTCGGCAAGCACTTCTTCTCGTCAGTTTGGCTCAGCACGTAGGTAACGATTTGTCAAAACATTCGCCTGCTCAATTTTCAGAAAGGTTTTGTTTTTCCACCTATTTAGAAGGCCTCCAACTAGTTTTCGCGCCTTATCAAAGGTTCTTGTCGGAGTAGGTGGCTCTTTTTCAGTTAATGGGTGTGAGAGTTGTGGAGGAAGATGTGCGTAAGCAGAATTCCGGTTGAAAATCCGTTCCTTCAGACCTCTTTGCGGTTTGTGATGGAGGACATTGGCAAAAAAGCCATAAGGGAGAACCATGTACTTTATCCTTGTTCCGAATGGATCTCCAAACATGAACGTAGATGGGCGACGCAAAGACAGCGACATAATCCGATTTCAAGTCGACACAGAAGCGCTGCCGACGTGCAGAATGTAATGGCGCCTAGTTGTCGGGCTTTAGTCTCGTCCAAGTGCCCTCTCAACTCTCATCTCACCACCTCTTCCTCGCCGCCTTCACTTTTTTCTCTTTCCAACCCCTGCTAAGCACACACGTACGTACGCCTAGCGATGGCTGTCAGATGTACGACAGCCAGCTGGTGAATACGACTGCACGACAAGACCATCCATAATGTCATATAGGAAATCGTGAAATTCATCATGGGCAAATCTTCTCCTTCCCATGGCCCCGTTTCTGCTGATTACCACACGTTATGTATTGATGAGAACGATTTCATAATCATCTCGACAGTTTATTTCATCGCGGAGTTTTTGCTGTCTAGTTTTACGCCGATCAACTTGCCCTTTACTGAAGGTGCGAGCGCATATGAATCTTTATTTCGTTAAATCACCTAGGTCAAGGCTCATTACGCTGCCGGACGCTCACAGACATCCATGGAGGCTGTCGAAGAACGACATTGCTCGACGTGAACCCCTTAACCAGGATTCTCTCATCCATGTCTTAAGCTGAAAGAAACGCAATCGGGCAGTTGCTGCGGTTCTCCCGCCTTTCTATCTTTCGATGACTTATGATCGGTATTCTCCAATATGACAACTTGAACATTCGATCCCTGTTTAGGTTTTCGCTATTTACTAGACCGTCTTACAGTACTGCATAGTCTTTGATGGATTGACTTGACCAATAAAATAGCGTTCTAGACGTCGCATGATTTAGCAGTGTTAGCCGCATCAACAGCAACTGTCTGTGCCGCTTGTCAGGGCTCTGAAAACAAGCACTCCTCGATCACTTTCCACACCGGCTGTTCGTGGGGGAATTAGTGCATGCACATGCAGGGGTGGGTGGTGATTTTGTGTTTTCATAAGTCTGTCAATATGTGCTAGCGGCACGTTCTGGACGTTCAGTATGCACGAAACTTTCGACCAGAAGACACTGCGCTGATTTCATTACGATTATCGTCTCGTCCTTTTCGTTCTATTGTTTTTCCCAGTAATTGCACATCACTGACAGTGCGTCGCCACCGTTTGGTATGTACTCTGTAAAGACGTTTAGCCGTGAATCTTTGTGAGTTTACTCATAACAAAACAGAACTTTGATCCGTGCAGAGTTTAGTATGACTTTCTTGTACAAATTTTCCCGTTTCATTTTCTATTATTGTCATGTGATTTTCTGGTCATGCTTCTTTTGTTTTTCCTTTTCTTTCGAAATATTCATTCTTCAGCTGATGTCACTGAGGTCAGTTGCTCTTATTCCGATTGTATGATCACACATCGATCTGATACGCTCCTATCAATATCGTCGCAAAAACTGTCATAACGCCGCCACTTGTCGGTGGATCCTGTCGTGGTCAACGCCGTCTGAACGTTTTTTTTATAAGTCTCTTCGCAACCTTCACGTGAACTAACGGTTCTGCACACACGCATATTAGTTGTCACCTCGGCACTTTTGAAGAACCTCACAATGCTCACAAGCAGGTCAGAAAAAATTCTGAAGAATCTCTGTAAATCGGTCATGGGTTATGTAAATGGACCACAACTGTTTTTTCTGTCTGGTCGCCTTCGATTTCTTGGGCCAATCCTTTACAATCGCCACCACCACGCCGTCAATGGCGACTACCATTTGTGCGTGGGTGATTGATACGGCCGAGATGGCCAGCTCCTCCTATCAGCTCGGTCGACGATAGACTAGTTAACCACAAGGTGTTTACTCTGTTTATCGACTAGTTAGTAACCTCTGTCACTCTGTGTTTGATATGTACTGTTATCAGCTGCAGGTCTTGTTGAGTAGCACTGAAATTGCTATCATCACAGCACGGTAGTAATATTTCCTCCCAGGTTCCTTTATTGAAAACCAGTTCTTCACTGAATAAATACCATGTCGTACTCTTTTCTTCTTATTCCTTTTCGCAAGGCAATGCCGACTGACGAAGTGGCCTATGAACGTGATTTTCGAACTTTTAGAAAAAGTGTCTGACAAAGACAGACTAGGCATTCTCGAAGGTAGTTCATTCTTATCCGTCCTCTGAATCTCGCAAGATCTTTCACCTCGGCCGTGGCTTGGTCTCAATCAACTCGATGCGCTCGTTCTGAGGGCTCATTTTTGCGTGCGCCGACAAATGCGCCGGCCACACATACACATGGGTTTAGCTTCCCCTCGAAATCGACATCATAATCCAAGGCGCGTTACGCGTTTTCACTGCTCCTGCAATTATTTACTCGGGAACTGTTAAAATATTTGCATCAACTTCGGGACAGGTGAGCGATATTTGCACTGTGCGCTCATGTAATCAAGGATTCGCTCCCTCAATCGAATCAAATGCTTGTTTTATGAGCGGTTTTTATCGAATATTATCGCGGCGGTCGTCCGCATTGCAGTGAGCGCGATTCGCGTATTTCACGTCGGACGTTGCTGCCGCCTGCGATGGCGACGATGAAAGGAAAGCGCAAGTGCTGTAATCAATAGCCAGATCTTATCGATTGCCTCATCAATATTATGACTAGCGGAACACATTGAGATGCTGCTGTGCTGCTGTTGCTGCTGCTGCTGAGCTGCTGATGCTGCTACCACTTCATTCCCAGTAGCGGCCAACAGTTCTGGAAGTGCACACATGCACACCAAAAACTTGGATCTTATCACAGTAGCCAAGTATTATCAGTACATACACTGTTTACAAAGTGGTAAAGCTACGCATGTGGATGGCACGTGTTGATCAACGACCAGCGCAAACACCTGCTTTCACGATTTTCTCTGCAGTACGTGCTTACAACTTCTGCAACAGCCTCATCTTCCCATTATCCACTAACTACTCTGGTGTAAACCTCAGAAGTATGTTTGGCTCTGCTATAAAAGTGTTTCATGGTCCGGGACTTGCGGTAGTGTCAAGACAGTTATGTGTCAGACAAGTAACTTGAAGGTATTAGTAAAACAGATCGATAGCACTCAGCAATGTGCTCATCTCCGGAAGTCCTCATTTTCCTGAGCTTACCCTCAAGCTTGAACATTCGTGCCGCATTTCACTCTTAAGGCGAAGCCTTTCCGCGATCAGTAGGTTTTTCCTTTAACAAGAATGTGTGCACGTATTTACGAATGATTGGGGCAAATGGTCGTGATTTATGAGTTGACGGGACAAGACTGTGTGAAGAACCAGCTCTGAGAGGTTGAGTTTCTGCATCTCCTACAATGACTGCCTAGTAACCCGTATGTTTATCAAGTGTGGTTTGTTATTCTTTTGAAGTGTTTTCAAATTTATTCAAGAAAAAAAAGTGACCTCTAATGCTGTTGGAAATCCACTCTCTTTTCTCTTTCTCTCAGTCCTCCTTCATTCAATTTTTTCATGTGCCTTGTTTTTACAATCCTAGCATATCAAGCATGTGTTTCACGTGCGCTTTCATGCTATCAAAAATCGTGGTGGCGAGAATCGCCCAGTTTCTCGTCGACGACTTACGCTCTCTTGACGTTTCAAACTCTATACATGTCTGCTACCGTATCTCATTCTCATCCCCCGTTTTGCATACATGCATACGTATGTTCACACACGCACCCACAAACACACATTCTTATGTCCTTGCTGAGTGATACACTCTTAAAGAAATTATCGATCGTACCTGTTGTGATTTCTCTGCAAAATAGCCAAACGGGACGGGCATTTTTTATAGCCACCCGATAAGATTTTTCCTTATCTTAATCACTCTATCGCTTCAGCACCTACTGTTTTGTGGCCTAGCTCGATTAGTGTTCGTTCGCAGTCCCATGGTCATTGTTTATTTAACTTTATAATCGGATTACGAAGTCCAACTGATCGAATGAAATCGAACGTCCCGAGTCAAAGAGCATTGATGGTGGCGTAGTGCGTCCATTGATTTCTTCAATGGCTGCAGGCGAGTTTCGTCCCAACTGCGGACTCGGCCGTGGGGCACCGCCAAGTGTAATTTTTCGTTGTGCCGCATGAATGTGCGTCTCCTTCTCATGCCTGTCTGTTCTTTTCTCGTACAACAAATCGTCTTTTACCTTGTCGATCTTTTCGTTCAATGCTCATCTTGTTGTGGTGCGTTCCCTCTAATGTTTGGTCATTTTTTCTAGCATTTCTAGCATAGGCTGGCGATGGTAGGAGAGAAAGAATGGGAGACTTGTTACCACTCGACACCCGCTGGTTATTACACCGGCTGTCGACGTGCCGCCAGCTTTCCTTTTTTCGGCGATCATACATTGGTTCCTAGTAGCGCTCTCAAGGTGAGTACTACAGGCTGTACACTCCGTTTTTGGCATAGTTCATCACTAGTTTATAACGACCACATGGGCCCATCTCGTAGTCTCAAATTTTCAAAACAATCACGATCATTTCTGAAAGAGTTCATAGCTCTTGTCGGGGGCTTCAATCAATTCTGGCTACTGATTGTAGTGAAATGTGAGGAAACAGCCGGCGTTCCCATCAAATAAACACTGCTATCACAACAGCTGTTTTCATTTGCTCTTTGATGCAGAGATCGTCATTTTGCACCTGTATCATCCTACCATCAATTTCGGGGTTAAACGGGTCTAGCATTTCTTGATAAGGGAGGGAACTTTACCCGGCTTGCTGGTTGAGCAAAAGTTCAGCACTGCGTGTTGAAAACTTTTTTTCGGAACTTCGGAGATATAAAAGTTTTCATTATTTCCGCTCTTCTACACCCCTCTATCCCTTTCACCCTCACCTTGAACACAAACCTTATTCCAACCTCATTTCTGGGAAAAAAAGGCAGAGGGTAAAAAGATATGATGAAACTAGAGTACAATATGTAAAAAGTATCCTCGTAGACCACTCCTATGGGAGGTATTATTAATGGTTCATATCTGCAGTGTTATGCATAATTTTTGCCGTTTTTCTTTAGGTGCGATCACAAAGCGAATCCGAAGGTTTGAATAAAATACGATTCAGCCAGATTAATTTGGATGCTCTTCGCAATCGCCCTCGAGAGATTGTCGAGGAATGCGGTGAGATTTTTTTTTCAAATTATGCTGAGGTGTAGTTTATAGCAACTAAAAACTCCTTCGTTTCGTTGTCATGCCTAAAAATAGATAGGGACAAATTAATCCCTTTGCGCTTTTCTCGCTTTCAGCTGCTACACATTAACCGCTCATTTTCAGATGAAGCAAGCGACTGTGAATCGGATTCATGTTCCTCCACGTCGGACGACTGTGATGCGTCCGGAAAAGGCCGAGCACTGATCGAGCATATTGTTGAAGTGAGTTCAATGATCCTGTGGAGTAAAGCGGAGATCTTGGCTCCCGATCAGTGACATCATCAACATTCTTTAGGTGCCATGTAAAACCCCGAAATCGGTCCGCTTCGCTGATGACTGTGGAAAAGAGCTGTATTCCGTTAGGGTCATGACCGAGCCCAGTGACTATCCGCCTCAAATCAACCCAAGCGTCCTCAGAAGACTAAGAGGTTGTCGTCTTTTATTTCTCCTGTTGTTGAGTCCGTGCAGCTTGATGATTGGCCATTTCAAGGTGATTCGTACGTGGAAGAAGCATCTCACAGTGATCCAATTCCAACATGGAATTTATTATTCAAGCAACCCGCCAGTGAGTATGTGCGATTCAGGGAAACCTTAGCAAAGGTACGTTGCTTTGTATAGTAGCGATTGGTCTGTTGCTTCGTCTGTTGCTTCTCTATTACATCCTGTCACAACACTACTGATCGTTCATCATTTAGGATCGTGTTTCGCTTGAGAACGTGGTGGTGAAGCCGGATTCGTCAAAGATTGTTGGCACTATCAAGGTGAAAATCTGAATTGAAATCGTTTGATATAGCTTCACTTCATTACCATGTTTGAGAAGAATGAGTATTAAGGACATTCAGCGGGGTAGTGTCATTCTCTTGTGAGCATTCACTTCAAATAGTAAGCGCTGTTGGCTTGGAACCGCTGTACCGCTTGAATCATTAGCTAATATACAATACAGTATGAGCCGCTGTAAGCGAAAATTGGACACCCAAAGAGAACAAAGATTGATAACACGCTTTGAAAGCGTAGACTGATCGTTAAGCTCTATCAGGGTAATCAGGAAAGGCTGGCACACCATGGCAACCGTGGCGTTCATTCATATGCATCAGAATAAGTGGGGGAGAAGCACATGCAAATTCGCAGCCGTACGCTTCAGACCAACTCGGAATGGCTTCTTTCATTGTGGACTTCAATTGTACGCGGAAAGCAGCACAAACAGAATTCTTCATCACTGATTTCTGGCAGTTTCAACTGGAACAGTGGGATGTCAAAGCGCAGTAAAACGTTTCGAGATCTATCACTTTTTCAAAGGCAGCGATTACGATAAAGAGGGAGCGCATCGGGGAAGCATATGCACCACACGAATCAGTTACTTGGCTGCCAGGGAAGCGAGGTGTGGCGCTTTCACAACGAAAGGTGCGCTGGTTGCTGAGCAGGACTTCGAAAGCGCTCCGCCCCCAAAAGCGATCCGCCCACTAGTTTACTTGTTGATTTGGACGAGCTGCGTGGCCAGCAGCGGCGCAAATGGAGCATCTCGATTGAAGCGTGTTTGGCATGGTGCCATCAAACGCGTTGCGGTGAACTCGTTCATACGTCCACTTTCTGAGCTGTTACCTGTTCATGAGTGAAAACCAACGGCCAAAAAAGGGGGTCCCGTTTTGCGTTTCTTGACGGATTTTTCTGCTTTTTTTTCGCTTCTGGCGTACCATTGAGCACCACCGCGTCACACTAAACCTTCGAATTTATCGTGATCGCTGCCTTTAAATTTTCCTAGGGGTCGGGGGGGGGGGTGCGTCAAGTTATGCCGCTAACCACGCGCCAAGTGCGGGTGTAAAATCCCTGATCGAATGTGGTGGGGACTAATAAAGTCTTCTTTCCAAGATCGGTGAATTTGTATCAGATGTTTGGGAGGATAAAACGCTGCCTTGCACATCAGCTTGTCCCCACAGTGCACCGTACACCCACCGTATTCAACAGCTCCTAAAAATTTTAAAGGATGTCCAGTGTGTGGGGCATAACCCTAGTAACACCGAAAATCTTTATTCCTTGTTTTTTTCCTCCTCATTTCTATATTCATAGTTATTTTCACTATACATGAAAGAAGTGAGAGTGTAATTAAACAGCTAGTGTACTTAGTTTTTTTTTATTTATTTGGCCATTGTGATGTCTGTGTACAAACGATATAATGAGACAATATCGTTTGGAAATTGCTGTAAAAACTGCTTGTGAAATTTAAATAAATAATAGTGTTGAAGAGGGGGGGGAGGGGGAGGCCTCATCTAGTTAGCGTTACTGTTTTCTTTGATTCACTTGAGATGGCCAGTCCAGCATTTTCTGGTTCTTATTAGTTTACCGTACGGGTATCATAATACATAATACGCTTAATTCTGATTAATTTCTTTCCTTTTCATCGTAAATCACATTCAGCGGCAGCGTTCAGTCGGCCGTTGTCTGTGCAGGCAAGTCAGCGCTACCCTTCTTCTGGTTGCCTTACATTACGTGCGGCAACAACACAAATAAATCAAACGCAAAGAGAAAAGACGAAGAGGTTCTAACAACTGATCGCCCTCTGAGCAGATTGGGGTTAATAAAATGGCTGGCCGCTGGGCCAATGTGCTTAGTTTTAGAAAGTAGGATGGGCAGAGAGGGGTAGGTGGCGAGTTTTGGGCTCTACAGTTTAAAAATGGACCAGCAAAAACGCAAGAAGTGATAATGGGTGGAGAAATACGTGATATAGATAATTTTCAGGTGTCCAACATTGCCTTTGAGAAGAAGGTGTTCGTCAGATACACAACTAACAATTGGCAATCCTATATGGATCGGCAGGCCACCTATCAGCCGTGTACCAGTAAGGTGTACGACACGTTCACGTTCGAAATAGAATTACCGAAGGCGACCGATAAGGTGAGATTATTGGTACAGATTCTATAGAAAACTTTCGAGCCTTTTTCATATTGATGGCATCTTTGGCGATAAAGCGATTTCCCTTCGATTTCCGACAGTCTGTACTTTCCCTTAGAAAAGTAGATTAGCGTAAGCTATTTTGGGATGTGTCCGGTCCGAAAGTGTCACTTCTTCTATATAGAAAAAACCCACACTTAAATTAGTGTGAGCTCATGCACCAAATTACTGCTTACAAAAAAGTAATAAGATTTTAGACCTATTCTTCCAAAAACACATGTAAGTATGCACACAGCTGTGCATGGCCACAGTTTACACCAATGGGTCAAGAGGCAAACTCCTCTAGAAAGCTCTAAATTCCATTTTCAGCTACTCAGAGGGTTGACTAGGTGGATTGGGGTATTCCATCGGAATTTAGAGAGTACGTAGTGATTATCTCATTAAGAACCTTGAAAAACAGCTGCAGTGTCCATGACCGATGCTAACCCAGCGTTCAAACTGCATACTGATGGTTTTCGTGATTTATCTCGCTTTGGATGCCGCAAGTTATTTATTCCCTTCCCCTATTTGGCATTGTTCACGTCTCGTGCCTTTTCGCTAACCTCCGCTGAATCAGAGAAACGTTAAAAATGGTGCTGTGTGAAAAATATTCGAGAGGTGCCGCTCTTCTAAGTAATTGTTCTGCACGCAATCTTCAGTCCATAATGAAATCAAATAAGAGCTTTTAAGCTCACGAGAAGCTTGTGCCCTATTTCGATGTTAAAAGTGCAATGGATGTTCTTCGGAACCTTCGGAACATGGTTCGGCTGTACTTTCTCAGCGTTTCCCGGCCCAACTGCATAGTACTTTTTCTAGTAGCGTTAATTCCGCGTGTTCGAGGGATTTGATGCTCTTGTTGGACGTCACAGCTTTCCCATCACCAAAGCAAATTTCAACAAAATTCCAATCACGAGGTGGATGGCATCCATCCACTCTTATTTGATGATTCGTGTGGCTGCTTACCGTGGTACTAAATATCGGGGTTTTCTTATCGAACGAAGCTCTGGCCTTACTTGCTGCCCTTACCAACGGAGCCGCGGAACTGTTTATGCACCGTTACCAGAGACGGAGCTGTCTGCGTCATCGCTCTCTGGTCACCGTTCCTAATACGCTGGATTTTTCCACAAATCATTCCCCCTTTGTTTTTTTTTTGGTCGGAGTTCTTTCATCCAGTGATCCCATTATAGCAGGGCGGAGAAATTTCTGGCTATTTTCTTCAGTTCATCGATCACTCCAGTTCCTGTTTTATTTTTGGTGGGGAAATTTCAGAAAGCGGCTTCGGAACATGTGTGTTGCTCGCTTCCTTTGGGGAACTCTGAAAGCAGTTTTTTTAGTCTTCCTCACGGATACCGTTGTCAACGATAAGTCCAGAATTCTCCAAGTTTTTGAAATTAGTGTCCTTCTAGGGATTGATGATCTCACATGGTACATACCCATATTTGACGCTAGAATAACCTTTTTTCACAAATCAGACTTCAATTGATTAACTTAAGGTAGCGAGGGGGGACCAAGAGGCAGTCCTCCATAGTGAGTGTGTGGGCGAGGTGAGCGCGATCACTCATCAATTTGGGTGGGCGGAACATTGAATCTGCCACTTGATTGAGCACGGCAATACAGTCATTGTATTTACATAGAAAATGTGGACACTTCCAGAAGTTCCGCCCACGTATGAATGATGTCGTTTTTAAAGGGTCGCTCATCGCCATTATTAGAAACATTTGGTGCTGTAAAATTATTCTACAGCAAAAAGCCGAGAGATGATCTGACAGCTGTGAAGTCAAGTGAAGTCATTATAATGAGTCACAAGTTTCTCTCTATCCTATCAATTTATTGACTATGCGCTTAACTTTACATGGTGCAGTTAGTTTGTTTTAATTCCTTACTTTAGAGAAAGACCACGGACATGATCAATTGAAACTGTCACCTTGAATTCGAATCTGATTACCTGCGTCCGCAAATGCTGTTCTCTTTAGAAGCGTTTTTATGACTTTTCATTGTCATTTTCAGGCCAAGCGATTGGAGTTCTGCATATGTTATATCGCAAATGGTGGCGAGCACTGGGACTCGAATGGTGGAGAAAACTACAAATTGGAACATGTGGATGTGAATGTACCCCAGAAGAGAACAGTGCCTCCGTTATTCGGAAGGTGCGCTGGATTACCTTAAGATGTTCCAAAAGATTTTCGTAGTATTTGTAATGACTTGATGTAGGTGAGATGATTAATACGCATTAACTGACAGGTTTTCTTACTGTAGTAGTCACAACATGAGATCCCTACTCTCACATTTGCAGCACGCAAATACATTATGGTGCTGGTCATGATCGCGGTGTTGGCGATGCCTCAAAACCATCGTAAACTCGCCGCGTCGCGAACCAGTGTCGGCGATCAACATCAATCGTCAAGACCGTTGTGAATGACCAGTCTTGCATTTGCGTAGTTGCTTCTTCTATTTAGGCTTAAACTGGGGAAGACGCGCATTACTTTCGAATTCTGGCCGCACGAGTTTGCCGCTCGCAGCAACCGGCAACGGAAAGCCGATAGTACTGCACGTCCCCCATGATCCCCGTGATAAATAGCTCATCTACCAGCTCAACCTTCCTAAACCACTGCCTCGATACATACATTTGAGCAATTAATTACGAGAATTTTGTGGGCGAAACTACACGTCACGGGTGGTTGGTGGTGCTGTGGTAGGGTCAATCTTAGCAAAACGAGTCGAATTATTGTACAACTTTTCCTTTGTTTCCCAGAATCGTTGATTTTAGCGATGTGGGAGGGTTCTTTATATTTTGTTCCGTACTATCACGCGTTTCTTGGGATTTGCGTCGTATCAGCGGGGGAAGGCTGTTCACATACATGTGATTTTAGTGCATTGGACCGTTTCTAGTGGCGATGAAGTCAGTCCTCATGCACGTACCCATTTATCCACAAAAAGCCCTTGTCTTAAGTAAATGCTTTTGTTTGTTTCCTGAACGTTACTTAAATTGTTTGGTGGTTTAAAGGCGTAGTGATTTAGCCTGAAGTACATGGACCGTGATGATGCGTACAACCTGAACCATAGCGACTGGGCGCATTTTGCGTCGTGGAAGAATTTGAGTACCGATGGTCCATACTGGTAGATGAACAGTTTGATCTTCCCATGAAAGTACAGAGAAAAAAATCGTAGCATTTCTTTTTATAATCTCTTCATGGAATTTTAACCAGTGACAGCACGGCTTCTTTCGGATTTCTATCCACTTTTATCCGATTCTTTTTTTTAAATTGATTTTTCTACGAAATGCGAGTGCGTGTACTATATACCCCCAATCTTCACACCCTCACCGACGTACACTGAAATGTTGAGATTCTTCTTGCCATATTCTGCGAATAGGGTACAAATATCGGGATAGAGCAGCGTTTGTGTTTTCATATTGTTGATAATGGCCTTATATAGTTCATAATTAATAGGTTTTAGTGCTGATTCTATTGAATATGTTCGATGTGTACGATTTCTCTCTCTATACAAACATTTAGTTAGTAGTAGCGGTTGAATTGTTGCTTGTGGTTTTGCGCCATCCTTGTTCATTATCGTCATTTTTTCGTCATTTTTTTGAGTTCATACTATATCACTAGTCATTGGTCGTATCCTACAAAGTCTACAGATGTTCAGCCAAATTTTCTAGCATTGGTAGGAGGTGGGACCTTCCGCCGTTGTAATTGCCGTTATATTTGCATTTATAATCGCCTGCCCTTCCCCCTCCTCGTTACCCGTACCCTCGTTATCTTCTTGTCATTGCTCACTGATATATTAAGGCGATCAAAATAATGCAATTTCTGGAAACAAGAATAACTTAGACACCAATCCTGCTCATTGAAACACCGTGCGGGTCACGCCACTATCAAGCTCAAAAAGCTCATGATTCGTAAACGCCTTACACGGAAGAGTTGTTTTTCTTTATTGTCATAAGCGTTTGATTTGTAAGGCTCATCGCATTGTGTTGCCTTAGTTTCCACGTTTATCGAATCTGTGAGATGAATGTTCGCATACAGTGCGGTGTATGAATGTTTGTGAACGCTATCGCAGTCCTCTCTTTTCTGCCCTAGTGTCGATGATTTCCCGCATTCTTAGCGGGTCAGGGCCAGGAGATCCGTGTTACAGCGTCGCAGTGATAGTAGCGTCGCAAGTGACGTCGCGCGTGCGGCATGTGCACTGCAAGCCGTAAAGAGGATGAGTCATTAAGCCGCCGTGCACGCGGTGACCTACTTTTGGTGCGTCGTCGCAGCGGGATCGCCTATCCCACTGGCATCAGCTGTCTAACGCTACTTAAACCCACTGTTTTGCTTTTATTCATGTTATTAATCACGCTACGAATAACACTATGGCAGGAATGAGCCCTGAAATCGCTTACTCTTACACGAGACGACCATTTTTGTCAGAAATACGTGTAGAATATCATTGTTATTAGTTCTATATATGAATCTCTATAGTTGCTAATGTTCGTAGATAAGATATTGCTTCTACGATAAAATGAAGTTTTTCAGGTCTTTCCGTCCAAATTCGTTTTCAGCGATATTTGCACAACAAAACCACATAGAAAGTTATTAAAAGGCTTATACTTCCACAGGTGAAGTCTCATTACAGGTATCCCTAAGTCCACCCTCTGCTGTAACATACCGTTCTTCATTGCTTCTCACTTTGCTTGGTTTAAAAGTGATAAGCTGGGAGATAAGTTTCAATATACATCAGAGAAGAATGATATTGTGGTCGGTGTAGTCCAACCCAGGGTCAATCCTACGTTGTTACTAGTAACAACGGGGGGGTCGTACCTGGTTGAGTTTATAGGAGGGGGGGGGTCGTATCCGCTTCAGTCGCGTGAAATTACATGTGAGTTTGTGGTGAAAGTGGAGTTTTCACGAGTAGTAGGCTAGGTGAGTTGGGAGCGCATGGGAAAAATTCGCCGTTTCAGCGCGCGTATATACCCCCCTAGAAAATGAAGCAGTGGGATTATAGGTAGAAGTGGGGTAAATTGGTTGGAAATTTAGGGAATTTTGGTAAATTTTTACTGTTATTACCGCCCCCCCCCGCTCGACGGCATTTTTGGAGGAAAAAGTGGGCGGAGTTTGGTGGGTTGAGTGGTATCAGAATTAAATACTATAGAGAGATGGTGGTGGAGGTGTGGAAAAGGGGGTCGTACCAAGTCCACCTTGGGGGAGGGGGGTCGTAAAAATTTTTGAAAAAGTAACAACGATAGGACTGACCCTGGTCCAACTTTTGTTGAGCATCATGAATTCAAATGTTATTGAAAACGTTGAAACTCTTACGTCATGTTTATACGAACGCTTCCGATGTTAACACGTTGACGACAGCGTGATGCGGTAACGCGTCACGCGTCAAATGTCCCACTTTGCACACCTCGTGGGACATTGTGACGCGGTAACGCGTCCCACCCAAGTCATCCCTTTTTCTTGCGCTTGCGCGACTTATTCCTAAGGTCTTTGTACTCATTCTATAGGCCATACATTAGCATACTTAAAAACCACATGGCTCACAGAAAGGCCAAATATTTTAGTTTGGCAGAGGTTTTCCAGACCTTACGGATATGTCTGTTCAGTTCATTCCTCGTTTTCTTTTCAATAACGTAACATGTTGATAAAAAGGAATAATAGAAGCGAATACAAACCTATTCGTATGGGAAGATATGTGTTTTTACTGAAACAACCACGTCCAAATTAATTTTGGAACCACTAAAGGGAAAGTAAGTAAAATTTGCCTTTTCATGGCCTTAACACGTCATTTCGGTCGAACTTCCATTACTGTAACTCCCGATAAGTTAGACAGATCGAACATTATTGAAAACTTCATCGCATCTAAGTATTGCGTATTTACAGCTCAAAATCCATGGATTTGGTGTGCGGCGGCGGCGCTCGCAAAATCGCTCTGGTCCCACGCGGTGCAAAAACCCAAAACGCGCGATGTCGTCAACGTGTTAACAAGTGCTAAATTCCTTGTTTTCGTCCCCAATTTGGCCTGGTGCTCGTCAAACGTACATGTAGTGGGACAAACTTCCATTGCTCTTGAAGAGGTCTGATTCTTAGGAATTACACAAGGCTTTTGGGCCCTACTTTCTTGGCCGAATTTGCTTGTCATATTATGATGCACTGAATGATTGAGAGCTCACTAAAAACTTCCGTGCGTTCGCAACGGTTTTTGTCACTTTCTCGACATGCTCTTTGAATGCAATTCCACCATTACGAGAGGCTAGCATTCCCAGGACAACACAACTATCTGGAAATGTGTCTAGAAAAGGCTACGAGTCTGACTGGAAGCTGAAGCTCTGGTTGAGAATGGTCACTTATGAACTAAGGGAATGAATGAGAAGAATGGAACATAAAAGTGTCAGTGTGCATCGACACAATATGTCTGCACGCTCAGTGCTGCTCAGTCCATACTATTCTTGAATAATTTCGAAAATGTTATTCAAGGGTAATGCTGCTGGGTTGGGGTGGGGTGGGTTGTAGCTAGCTCGGAGTCTTGATTTTCTGCAAAGATAGCTGGATAGACGCACCTATGTGCAATAAATAAATAAATTAATAAACAAATAAATAAGTTTTTGATGACAGAGCTTCTCCGTTCTTATAGGTGAAACATCAAACGTTGATGCTACAAAAGCTACCTTCCTATCGATCCCTTCACGCCAATAAGTTTTCAGAAGCGCACTGGAATACTTTCACTGGTGTGTTGTCACTGCAGATCCTTAGTCACAGTTTATGCGCGAATCCCTAACTAGCACACATTTTGACGTTGGAGTCCTTCAGTGGTACGGAGATCTCTATGCGGAGTTTCCACCGCATTTGAAACACCTGATTTTCTCATAGTACAAGCATATAATATAAAAGCTAATACACCTCTTCTTCGCACAGTGAAATGGATAATAGGTTTGGCGAAGGGAAGGTGCTGTGTGTGCAATGGAGGTGCTTCACGGACCAGAGTTCCGCACAAGGACGCTCTCACTACTACTGTACGAGTAGTTATTGCACACTTTCACTATTATTTCGTTTTTTGTATTGTGTTAGACGTCGTTAACTCACTCACGCCAGCGGCAGGCCATGTGGCCTGCCAGTTAGTGTTTACAAGCCAATCGGTCATGCCATAAGTTATAGATATTTTTAATATCGATGGAATAATCAAGGCCAAGATCACTATGAGCGATATGATTCAAGACGCTTGATAAGCTGAGTTTCGAGAAAGGTTTCCTTCTTCTTCTCCCTAGCGTTAGTCCCGCGCAGTCGCAGGGTCCGCTGTCTTTGTCAGTCGTCGCCACTTTGCTCTGTCCAGGGCATCTTCTGCTGTGGCCATGACTTCACTTAGGTCCTTCTTGATTACGTCTTTCCACCTCTTCTTTGGGGCTCCTCGCGGTCGCTTGCCTTGCACTTCGAAGTCCATCGCTGTTCTTATCGGATGGTCCTGTGGCCTCCTTAGCACATGCCCATACCATCGCAGACGCTGTTCCCGTACCTTCAGCTGGACAGGGGCAGTCTGCATGACCGCTCTGACATCCTCGTTTCTGACCCTGTCCAGTCGCGTCCAGCCGCAGGCCCATCTCAGCATCCTCATTTCGGCGAGTGAAGCTGCCTTTCGTGATTCTTGTTCAGGGGCCAGCACTCGCTGCCGTAGAGCATCGCAGGCCTTACCACTGTCCGGTACACCTTCCCTTTGAGCGCTCTGGAGCACCTTCGATCGCAGAGGATTCCAGTGGACTCCCTCCATTTCATCCATGCAGCGTTGACCCGAGCCTTCACCGCCTGATCCACACTGCCGTCGCTGCCAGATCACTCCAAGCAGGGTGAAAATCGTGTCGAGTACGTGGTCGCAGAGGTACGACCCCCCCCCCCGAAATCGAGATCCTGGCACGACCCCCTAAAACAGAGCAAATTAATTCAATTAAAATAAATCCTGCAAAACAAATCAAAAAAAAATCTGCAAAATAATGTTATGGACGCCTCATCTTGTCATCTATGCACTGTCTTTCATCGCTGCACACTTTTGTGTATTTACTGAAATATCGACTCGAGGAAAGAGGCATTAACTTTGTGTGACCTCAAAGTCAGGTTCGTTCAGAAATGCTGATCTTATTTCCTG